GTCAATTGCGCATAACTACACACATAATTACCTACATTTTTTTAACACTAGGATTAATTAACTATGTTGGGACAACAAAAAAAAAAAAAGAAATTAAAAACCAGGTTAAGTTGTCATAAATCTAACCAAAAGGCCAAAGACAAAGATCCAGAACAAATAACAGCACTTTCCGCACACTGTGCAAAAATCGGAGCTTCAAAATTTGGCAGAACACTTTGTAATTTGTCTATGATGGTTGGTATTGAAAATGAGGTACATCGGTCCGCCGCCATGTAACGGTACCTTCCGATATTCTGCACTTTGATGTTTTTCGCCACATTTTCCAAGGATTTGTCTAAAAATTGGTATTAGTAATTCGTAATGGGTTCTAGCTTAGTTGGCGGAGCATAGTATATATAGGTACATGTTTTGGTATAGCCCACATAAAGCTCTAACGGCATTTATAGATGACAATCCTTGAAGTATAAAATTGTCTATAGAGTTTTCCGATTTGGTATGGCCCCCATATGACGGCCTCACCTACTTTATGGCTTTTTGAAGTTTAAAGAGGAACGCGTTTAAATTCAGATGTTTCCATACAAAAACTTAATGTTTTTTTTCTTCTTTTGTTCTACTAACCTTGAGCCAAATTCAAAAATAAAAAAATAAGTTCAAAATTCAATTTTTAAATTGTTGAGGATGAATCTCAGTGGAAGGTAGCCCTTTATTACAGCATAAGTGATATAAACACTTTTTACAAAGAGCCACATTCGATATTAAGTTAGATACCTGGCACTTGCTAGTAAATAAAATCCGAAGTTGTTCGTCGAATTCTATGTATATGACTTTTTTAATATTTAAATGGAATGGGTGTTATGTTAGTCATTAATAGGTAAACGATATGCACCGCTTCCTTTTATTTTGTCAATTTTTATGAATTCATGACACTGGTCTCCAGGTTACAACCCGCACAAATAGGTATATTCCAATGGGGAGTGTTTCTCAGACTGTCATGCGACCCTCTTATTTCATCACTCTCACTTCAAACACACAGAAATGTACATCTTATTCATTTCGTCATAATTCTCTATGCGCTAAAAAGCACGAGCGTAACATGGGCTTACTCTCCATATTCTCTTCGCCTTTATTTAAGAGCCTCAGGGTGTACAAAAAGAAAACACACGATTTTTAGCAAGTTTTTGGTAAGCTATTATAGCTCAACTAAAAACAAAAATGATTATAAATAAATGCTTCCTCATTACAAACGCTAACTGACACTGGAGAACAAATGTGTGAATACATGTTCGAATCAGAGTAGTTGGTACATGTGTTCCTACTCACATGTGTTCAATCTTAAGCAGGACACAATAACAACAATTATTTATGATTTTAATAAATTTTATAATTAGAACTGAATACTTTCTACATGAAGGTAAAAAATCTGAAACTATGGTACGACACAAAAGTAATCATTGCGCTGATTGGTGGTAAAGTGTTAATCGTAAGACCCAGCAGAAAGTTTATTGCGGTGTAACACTTTTATCTGCGACTGTTTCGCCTTTGGAGCATTTACGAGTTTGTTGTTTTCGTTTTGTGAGTTGTTGTTTTTTAGTTGAAATACAACAATTTCGTAGAACACGCATATGCTCATTAACAGTGGCCCAGTGAGATAACGGAGAGCCCGAATGAATTATAATTTGAAAGATAACAAACACCTACGAACCTATTATCTATTCCTCACATTTGTTGTTTGTGTTGTGGTTGGCAAAAGGTTTCAAATGTCTTGCTTTAAGACGACGATAACAAGAGCTGTATAATACATGAATGATTTGACTAAAAATTTATTTTCATTTTCGTTTGTCATGGCTTTGGGTCACCGTGCCACAGAGCTTTTGGCAACTTTAAATGCCATGCAGTTGGCTGTCGCCAGTCTTACAGTCGGTGTCTGCAGAGACTGGACATTTTGGAAAGAGAAGAAACATCGGACATTTTCGCTTCACCAACAACGACGAGGTATAACAAATAACAAATTCTACAATTCCGCACCTACAGTTGTCCAGTCTGTTGTGTAATTCTTCCCAAACGGAGGTCGGTTGGCTAGCAGTGTTCTTAGCATTGGAACGTGAGTAATTCTAACACAGTAATAATTGGAAACTAATGGAAGCACCAAACTAATGAAATACCCGCGATTTGGCCGCGATCAGCTGAAATGTTTTTTGTGTTATGTGAAATGAATGGGACATAAATCTGTGCGAATGAATGCATCGAATGAGTGGATTTATGAAAACAACAATAATTGGGGGATAGTAAAAAACGAGGCGAGCGCTGTTTCAGTGCAGCAAAAAAACAAACAAACGATTCCGCAAATATTTAAGTAATTTGGCAAGACTTGCACAGTGGAAATTTAGGAAATTTAGTGTGAAAAATCTACGGTTGTACGGACACTCACTTTCGAATGAAATCGTGCTTGCCTGAGTGTAAAATAATGGTTACAACAATGAGAAATACAAACAAATGTCCAATCCAAGGTACAGGTGAAAACAAATTAGAACGTATCAGATTGTTCCTCTGACAGATGTATGGTCCTCACTCCACATGTGTCTGTTCATTTAAACATATTCTGATTATTAAAAAAATGTTGTCCCTTTATGGGAGCTGTTACGATGGTGTGGAACAATATTGGCCATTTTCGAACCTGACCCTCTGATTACTTCCTCCATATTATATGACATAAATGTATATATTTTTTGGACCAGAAGAAGCTGACCGATGTTGCCCTAGATCTAGGTTTGGTAAACTCGGACACTTTCTTCAAGAGTTATCGCTAGATCAACTCAAAATGTCCCGATACGAATTTCGTGCAAAGAGACCTAGAGCTTAGAACCATTATTTTAAATGATATATACACTATCTTTAGCCATATGACTGAGGGCATAGTTAGGGGTCACCAGCAACTTTCTTGAACAAAATATAGGCATTAAAGGAGTAAAAAGAGAGATACCTGTAAAGAATGTAAGAACAGGCATTAGTATTTTTCGGTAGTTTGGTTCCAATCGTACTTTTGTAAAAACCACGTACAACATGGTGGCATAAATAAATATTTTTTTCCTTTCAAAACATATACAGAGTTTGTGTGTGTATTGTTTTGAACGAAAATGAAAATAATTTGAAATTATTATGAATTTTGATGTAACAAAAAGGCATAATTTCCAGGTTAACGGCCAACAAAATGTATTATTTTGCGATAACACAACACTGTCCCTCTATTTTGGATTCGATTTTGTGGAGAAACCCCAATATATCACTTATATTTTGTGGGTTTTCCCCAATACAGTGATTCTGTGAGAAAAGTACAACAAACAAAACCAATTGTTAAATGTTGGAAAATATATTTGAGACTATAAGACTCCGGTACAGAGTCGCATTATCCTCGATTCTTCGAAGTTGAGCAACCTTTCCTATTGACAACAAAGCGATAACAGAACTACTTTTTCCTTGTGGAGATGCATGGTAGAAAAATACGGGTAACACCAAGTGTTGTTGTACAACAATCGTAACAACAACCACATACATATTTGTTTTTGTAAGTAATACAAGTGTCAGAGTTATATGTCCAAAAATGTAAACAAAATAATTAATTTTCAATAAATTATTTAAATTTCAAAAATATACATTTTTGGAATTTGGTTCATTAAATTGAAAATGCAGAAGAATACTTCTTAAAATATGTAATTTTAATGCATTCACTCACATCATTCCCCTGAATGCATAGTTCTTAGCTGTTGGTCCTAATTTCTCAACACTTCAAGCAATCGCTGGAAAATCGCGGAAAAGGCAACATCCCTTTCAAGTTGAAACCAAACAGCATACATACAGTACAGTATTCTACATTTTGCAATTTTAGGAAACATGAAATATACGAATATATTATCTAACGAGGTGTCGCTGTTCCTTAACCACAAAAAAGTTTCCGAACCATCGCCTTTGGCGTTTTGTTAAGTACAACGGCGATTTTTTCTATTATTAGTCAAAAATGTGTTCACATTGCCCTGCAGTGAAATTTTATATCAAAAAAGGGTATACCTATTGTATATCAAGAAATGGAATTAAATCACAAAATGTCGTATCGAGTTTCCGAACCATCGCCTTTGGCGTTTTGTTAAGTACAACGGCGATTTTTTCTATTATTAGTCAAAAATGTGTTCACATTGTCCTGCAGTGAAATTTTATATCAAAAAAGGGTATACCTATTGTATATCAAGAAATGGAATTAAATCACAAAATGTCGTATCGAGTTTGGCAGTAGTATTACTATAGAATCCAATCAGCTGGGACTTGCTGTACCTGTAATAATTATACCATGGTGGAGATGGGTATTTACATATATTTTTTTTTTTTTTTTTTTTTTGCAAACAAAAACCTTTTCAACAACAAAATATTTCATCACATAGTAAAATATTCTAATAATTACTCCATTGAATTTGTTTCTCGCAGTCGCAGGCTATATAATTTGATGTCGAAATTTGTCATGTCACGTTTGATGTGAATAGAATACAAACAATGAGTTTGCAAATTTTAAAATGTAATCTATCAATCGTGCACAGTGACTTCCAATGATTTTTATTTATTTTACTTTTTTCTTGTTACTTATCAATTATATAAATCAGGATTCCTCTTTCTCAATATTTGGGTCTATGAGTGCTTCCAGAGCTGAAATATTCGGCGTGCTTCCAGCCGATGTATTTGCATTATGTGTGTTCAAATGCAAACAAATGCAGAAAGCCCCAAAACACTGTTGCAACAATTTAATAAATTAGGTCAATCGCATTCAGTTAACGACGCACAACAATGGCGTGATGACGTTTTGCACTTCTGTGGAGAGAATTGTCGCTAACAAATATTTTTTTTATTTATTTGATTATTTTTTGTTGTAGACATTAAGATAAAATTTTGTAGCTGTCTAACAAAAAACCCAGTGTGCCTGCACTATCCGTTTGTTTACAATACAAATTACATTTCAGTTTCAAAACGAAAATACAATTTTATAGTTTTTTAGCTTTTAGTTGTTTAGTTTTTAAGTGAACGTGCAGCGAACAAGTTCCAACCGTCTCACAAACACACCAACTTCCAATCGGATTGTTGTGGCATTTCGGTTAAGTAAATTTACCTTTTGCAGATCCAACAACAGCAAATTCCAGTTACTCTTGCATACCTGTAGCTGACACCGCCAAGAGCTATTGAGTTGTGAGGATGGCTACAACTACTTTCAAGATAAATGGGGTTCCATACACAGGTGTGTCCGATCAGTACTTAAACAAAACGTCGGGGATCTTACATTTTTTCTGTTTTCAGTGAATCTCTCAACTCTGGCTCCCGACATTACGTTAAACAATTTCATTAGAGACCATGCCCAATTGACGGCTACCAAATTCATGTGCCTGGAGGGAGGATGCGGGGCCTGCGTTGTGTCAGTATCGGGTAAACATCCCGTCACTGGTGATATGAAAACATGGGCCGTCAATTCGGTGAGTGTACAGAAAACCAAAAATAATTTCTTTAATTATTTTAACTTTTATTGAATTAACAAAATTATTAATTACCCAATCGTTATATTGTTTCCCACTTTCAAAAAAGCAAAAGAGCAAAGTTAATAGAAAATAAAAGTGGGATTTATGGGAAAGAAGGTAGTTGAATGAGGCAAATAACACTCCTAAATGGAACCACTCTCTCTCTCTCTGTCTCCTAAAAATTTACTTTCTTTCCGGTAAACCTGTAGTAGTGTGAGTTTAATGAAGTACGTAAAAAATAAGACAATATCATACCTTTAAGTGACTGCTATTTAATTTAAATATCTTTCACCCGATTCGGTTCCAATCAAAATACATCCATGAAATTTAGATTAATTTTTTTTATTCCTTGATCTCATACCATTTATTACCAACCGATTTTAAATAAGCTGCGGTTGCTTGAAGAACAAACGCTGTCGCTGCGAAACATTCACAGAGAACTTGCGAACTTTCAGGGTGACGAATGTGTTATTGAAAATTTTGTTTTGGGTTTCGAATTTTGTCGAAAGTAGTTTTATAGAAATTAATTGTTGGCAAGGTATGGCAGAAGGATTGAATTTGAAAAACATGTTTGATTTTTTACACTTTTCTCCCGATATTTTTATATGAAAGAAAATCGCAAAAAAAAAAACAAATGAAACGCCTTGGATTTTTTCCTTTCTAATCCCAAAACGGAAACATTTGTTCTTCCCAAAAACCGGAATATGAATTTAAGTTTAACCGAATTTTGTTTTTTTTTTTTTAATTATTTTTTTTATTATTTATAAGAATAGAAACACATACACAAAAAAACCGTATACATGTTATGACATTTCAAGAGTACCAATAGAAAACGTATTCAGGTGACAGCTATGGCCTACCTTGTCTTCATTGTACCATGGGTATATCGACACGGAACAATGAATATATTTTTTTATTCCATTTAGAAAAAAAGGTCCTCTAAAATTAAATTACAAATTTCTATTTTTTTCAATTTGGTTCTGTTAGTAGAAATTGCTGTCAAACTTCCGTACTATTCTCACTTGAAGAAGATAATTTCGGCGTACATTTCAAAATTCCCTTAAAACTTAATAAATCTTTGTCTGATAATCAATTCTAATTTAGTGATCTTAAAACTGTTCTACAAGAAAATTTATTTGAGCGTTCCACATTGTTGTTCTATCATCTCTTTAGTGTCTAACGCTGTTGAACACGTGCAGCGATTTGGAAATTACGACCTGTGAAGGAATTGGCAATAAACGTGATGGCTATCATCCCATACAAAAGCGAATGGCCAAGATGAATGGAACTCAATGTGGGTTCTGTACACCAGGGTTCGTAATGAATATGTACAGCTTGCTGGAATCGAAGGATGGAAAAGTAACCATGGATGAAGTGGAGAACTCTTTCGGTGGCAATATCTGTCGCTGTACTGGCTATAGACCCATTTTGGACGCAATGAAATCGTTTGCTTTAGACAGCACCATAAAAATACCGGAGGAGTGTCAAGATATCGAGGATCTTACAAACAAGAAGTGTCCGAAGACTGGACAAATGTGCGCGGGTCAATGTCATAAGTCCTTAGAATTTCTACTTTACGCCGACGGCAGTCAGTGGTATTGGCCAAAAAAATTGGACGAACTCTTTGCCACGCTTTCGAAAATAGACTCTAACGAACACTATATGCTCGTGGCTGGCAACACGGCTCACGGCGTCTATCGTCGATCGGATTCGTTGAAACATTTTATTGACGTAAATGGAATAGCTGATTTGAAGAAACATGACTTGTCCAAGGATGGCTTAGTCCTGGGTGGTAATCTCAGCCTCACCGAGGCAATGGACATATTCACTGAGGCTTCAAAGCAACCCGGATTTGAATACTGTCAACAGCTCTGGCACCACTTCGATTTGATTGCAAACGTTCCCGTGCGAAACGTAAGTAGACGAGCGTAAAATTGGTTTGATTGCATGTCGTGTTTGCGTCACGGCACGCCTGAGTCGTTCCGGTCGATGCAATGATGAGTTCACAATAACAATGTAGTTGGACTGAATGTTGTGTGCTTGAGTTATACCAGAGTTCGGATTGAACGGCGATACAAAAATATTGCATATTGTCATCATCTCACATCATTTCTTGACAACAGCACACAACACCATTCATCAGAAGAGAATACAACGAAATCATTTTACACTCATTCACAAAATCATTGACACCATATCGAATCATGCGAATGATCGCACTGTTGCTTGATTTAAGGATAAATGGTTTTCTTGCCGAATATTTTATTTCTAATTTATTTATTTTTTTTTTTTTCGACAAAAATTATAAAAGTTTTTTTTTTTTATATTTCGACCTCGATTGTTCGTTGCACTGCATTAGAATGTCAACGAATAGTAAACGAATCATTCGAATGTTTTCGTATTTTTGGTGCATCACCTACAGTAGTGTTTGCTTGACATGTAACGGCTCCGACAAATGATGTGTTAAAATGCAACAACAGCATTGTCGTATTGTCGAATTAATGCAATTCAATAGAAGTGAAAGAGGGAATACATGAAAAATATGGATTATTTCATTCCGAACTCTGATGCATGCCTGTAATGGAACTAATTATCGACAACAAAACCTTAAATATATTTGAATTTGATTGCAATTTAAGTTAAATTAAAATATCTGATTCCATTGCAGACTGGAACATTGGCCGGCAACATTTACACCAAAAGGGAACATGAAGAATTTCCATCGGACGTGTTCCTGACTTTTGAGGCCCTAAACGCCCAAGTCGTTGTTGGTTATTCCAGCGAGAAGCGCGAAACCATGTCCTTGGTTGATTATGTCAGAGACAAAACTTCCAAAACAGTAATCCTTTCATTCAATTTACCGGCGTACCCTAAAGAAAACTTTATTTTCAAGTCGTACAAGGTAAGCCACTGGCGTACGCCCGACGCAACAACTACCTAACCCTTCCAACCCTTCTCTTTTGGAATGCATAGATAATGCCTCGAGCTCAAAACGCTCACGCATTTGTTAATGCCGCTTTCCTGCTGGAGGTAGAATCGTCAACGGGCGTTGTAAACACCTGCAGTCTCTGCTTCGGTGGCATACGCCCAGACTTTGTCCACGCTTCTTCAGTGGAGGCAGTTCTTAAGGGGCAGTGTTTTTATGAAAAATCTGTCGTGGAGAAAATCTTTGCAGAATTGGCAACTGCGCTGCAACCCAATGAGGTCCTGCCCGACCCCTCCCCCGACTATCGCCGCAAGTTGGCCTGCGGTCTTTTGTTGAAGTTTCTTTTAGAGAGTGCACCCGCAGATAAAGTGAAGCCGGAATTTCGCAGTGGAGGTCCCATTTTGAAGAGAGAGCTTTCATCGGGTATTCAGACCTTTGATACGCAGAAAAAATTCTACCCCGTCACTCAGCCAGTTGAAAAAATAGAAGGTAAGGTAATGATTGAAAGTTTGACAACGCACTCATCCAAACCTATTCCCAGGTCTCATCCAGTGCTCCGGCGAAGCTACTTACATGAACGACACACTGACACCCCACAATGCTGTGCACTGTGCCTTTGTTACAGCCACCAAGGTTGGCAGCACCATCGAACAAATCGATGCCTCCGAAGCTATTCGGGTTCCTGGAGTTGTGGCATTCTATTCTGCCAAAGACATTCCGGGAAGTAATACTTATGTAGACGAGGGTTTCGGCTATGAGAAAGAAGAGATATTCTGTTCACAAACAGTGCGTTATTACGATCAGCCCTTGGGCATGATCGTGGCATTGAGTAGTGATATTGCAAACCGCGCCGCATCCAAGGTCAGAGTTATTTACTCCAAAGGGTCCGAGGTGATAATGCCGACACTACCAGACGTTTTCGCCAACAATTGTCTGGAGCGAATTCACAGTATTAGCCCTTCGAAGATCGAGGACATCAAGTTGTCCGAGGCCGCAGATATTTCGGGCAAGGGTATTTTTGAAATCGGTCTGCAGTACCATTTCACAATGGAACCTCAAACGTGTGTTGCAGTGCCATTTGAACAAGGTCTGCAGGTGTGGGCCACAACTCAGTGGATGGATCATACACAAGCGGTTATTTCGAAAATGCTTCAAATCAAGGCAGCTGACGTCCAGTTGAAAGTCAGGCGTCTTGGTGGTGCTTACGGCAGCAAAATCAGTAGGGGCAACCTGGTGGCTTGTGCAGCATCATTGGCCGCGTATAAACTGAACCGTCCCGCCCGATTTGTCCAGACGATTGAATCGATGATGAACTGTAATGGCAAACGCTGGGGTTGTCGTTCGGATTACGAGTTTCACATCAAGGCCAATGGCAAGATTGTGGGCTTGAAGAACATTTTCTACGAAGACGCCGGTTGCACCTTGAATGAAAACCCCATTGACGACCATTCTACCGTCTGTGCAAAGAATTGTTATGCATTCACAGAAGACAATCTGAAGATCGAAGGCAACGCGGTCGTGACGGATGCCACCAGCTCCACCTGGTGTCGTGCACCAGGATCGGTTGAAGGTTAGAAAAAATAGAATTTCCTTTTGCGAACATTTTTAAGATCTTTAATTCGTTCTGAAGGTATTGCCATGATTGAGAATATAATGGAGCACATTGCCTTTGAGGCCAACATAGACCCCGCTGACGCTCGCATGACAAACATTGAGGATGGCAACAAGCTGAAGGAGCTGTTGCCACGCTTTATTGCCTCTACGGAGTACAGGAAGAGACGCCAGGAAATCGACGATTTTAACTCGAAAAATCGGTGGTTAAAGAAGGGACTCGGCATCGCTATAATGGATTACCCCATCTTCTATTTTGGCCAGTATCCAGCAACTGTATCCATATACCACACGGATGGCACCGTTGTTATCTCCCACGGTGGAATTGAAATGGGTCAAGGTAGGAAAAAATGTGTATTTTGCTCTCAGCTTCGTATATTCACACCCCCGCCCTTTCTCCGCATATTTTAGGCATGAATACTAAAATTGCACAGGTGGCCGCTTATGTCTTGGGAATCCCTTTGGAGTTCATAAAAATCGAATCAAGTGATACCATAAATGGTGCCAATTCGATGGTCACCGGTGGTGCGGTGGGAAGTGAAAGTTTGTGCTTTGCCGTACGTAAATGCTGCGAAGTACTAAACGACCGCCTGAAGCCCGTAAAGGACTCATTGAAGGACAACGCGTCGTGGGTCGACGTGGTGCAGACAGCGTGGGGCAAAAATATCAACATGATTGCAAGTGACCACTATAAGAAAGGTGACATGCCGAACTACCACATTTACGGTCTGGCTCTTACCGAAGTCGAATTGGACATTCTGACTGGCAATCATTTGATCAAGCGAGTGGATATTCTGGAGGATACGGGCGAAAGTTTAAGTCCTTACATAGATATTGGGCAAATTGAAGGGGCCTTTGTGATGTGTCTCGGATACTGGCTAACGGAACAGTTGGTCTACGATCGCCAAACCGGGCAGCTTATGACAAACCGTACGTGGACTTACAAACCTCCAGGTGCCAAAGACATTCCCATAGATTTCCGTGTTAAAAAGCTGCAAGGATCTGCTAATCCAGCAGGATTTATGCGTTCGAAAGCGACTGGTGAGCCGCCCAGTTGCCTAGCCATCAGCGCAATATTTGCCATACAACATGCAATTCAATCGGCCCGCAATGATGCCGGCCTCAAGAGGGAGTGGGTTCGCTTAGGTGCTCCCACAACGCCCGAAACGATTGTCTTGAACGCTGGCAACGACACATCCACCTACACGTTGGAATAAGTTGTATCCGTAAAGAAGCTTAGCGATGTTGCCGCACGTAGAATAGAATGGTGATTGGGCTCAAATCTTATGGTCTTACTCTAATTTGTTGATACACATACACACACATATAAATGTATAAACAATAAATTTATTTGCTTTTATTCCTCTGCTTTGTTGGATTATTGCGTCGTATTTGCCAGAGTGGTAATAGGTTATCGAAGCGTGTGCAAATACAAGAAAGAAAAAACTCGCACTTAGGATTACAAATCGGCTAATAATTAAAAACCCCATTAAAAATACGGAATATATGACAGACACACTTAACGCGACACATATTTTGGGCATTATATTCTGTTAACCATATAAGGTGAGTATAAAATATGACAAAAATTAATACTTCCAAATTGTACAAACCGTCGACGAACCCTGAAAATTCTGATGAAATAATTTAGAAAAATATCAAAATACTCATGGTCAAGGAATTAATATTTATTTCGTGTGACATCGTCTTGTTAAAATAATGGGTTATGAGATTATTTGGTGAACTCAGCAAAAACCTGTAAATTTATATTCTCACTGATTTTGGCAGTCCCTGTCTCATCGAAATAACGGTTTTAGGTACTATGTCTCTTTGGACCAAATCTGTTTCAGGATATTTCGGGTCGATCTAGCGATGTCGGTCTGTCAGGCTGGCTGGTGCGCCCGATAACTCTCTAACGGAGTATCAGATTTGGTACAAACTCGGTACATCGTCTTGATCCATCGTATATGATACATAATATTATTATATACGCTCAAATAAATCGAAGTAAGCGTCCAACTCTCTTCAAATTTCGCACATACAAACATTTTTGCCAACACAAGATCTGTTGTGAAGATGACAGAAATCTGCCGAGACCTTCTGGTATCTCAGTCCCACAAAGGATCATAAGCTTTAATAATTTTATCTATCATAACTTTCGAAACAAGTAAGCGATTCTTTACAACTTACCAAAATATCTAAACATTTCTCTCAGCTAGAAACCTGAGACGAATATGGAATTTATGATTTCGCATTAAATTGGATATCGATGTTCGATTTTCTTATAATTTTGCCCATGCCAATATTTGTATCTGTAGCAGATGAAGTAAGAAAATGGAATACACGGAACGACTATATCTGGTACCTCACGCACATTTTTACATTTTCTAAGAATTATCACAATCCTCTCATATACAGTGAAGAAAGCAGTTGATGTAGTCCAATATTGGCACGTCACAATATTTAATTGTTTGCATTACCTTATTGTTTAGCTGCGAAGGTGTCATCAATGGAAATTAAAATGTGAAAATCAAGCATGGCCACATGAAAAACACCATAATTTAAGTCCACATTGGAAACCGCTTACATTAAAAAAATGTATCTAAGGTGTTGTGTTGATGTTTCCTACTAATGTCCATGAATTTACATTATTCTGTCATACCAACCTCGTGGAAGAATATAGGTGCAAAAAAATTGAAATTTCTGTGACGGTGAATAACACACACAGACACACCAATTTTGATTCGGACCAACCAAAATGCCTTTATCAAAAAGGTGCCTTATTAGAACGAAGAAAGAATTGATTAACCTTAATATTTGCTCCCATGCTTCTTGACAAAGCTTCAGTCGAATGATCAGGTTCTCAACATGATATAGCTGTTGTTGTTGTTTCAATTAATTACTTAATTCTAATTTCGTTGTTTGCAACTAAATTGAATTTATAGCTCCTGTATTATTGTCTGAATCATTTTTTTAATACCTGAATGTTCAGATTTATACTTTTGTTTGCTCAGTTCTTATTTTGAGTTTAATTCGATCACAGCTTACAAATCGTACTGGACAATGGGCAGTGAAACAAGCAAATCTGCCATCGTCAACAATGAAGACACAGAGGCGACCATTTCGTTTAAAATAAATGGAATCCCATATTCCGGTAAATGTCTGCTTTTAGTCTTCTGAGGCCAAGACTGAGAAGGCAATCTTCCATTTTCAGTTAACCTTGTGCAGTTTCCGGCGGATATAACTCTCAATACGTTCATCCGGGATCAGGCACAATTGACTGCAACCAAGTTTATGTGTTTGGAAGGCGGCTGTGGCGCTTGCGTAGTGGCTATCAGAGGCAGGCATCCTGTTACGGGGGAACTTAAAACATGGGCTGTCAATTCTGTAAGTATTTGTAAGCTAGACGAAAAATCGAAGCTGATGAATAATCGCCGTGTCCTAAGCTCTAACGAGTTAACATACACACACACACACACATATATTCAAACTCATTTTACGGCAACAATGCCAAATATAGACGTTTGCATTAGAATGCTTAATATAACAGGTTTTCGATTTGTAATCTGCGTTCTATGCAAATAGTGATACTCAGACGAGTTGTTATAATTATATATATATATTTGTACTGTTGGAGGACCCCGAGGATGGTCTTCACATTTTGTTCCAAGCGATCTTCTGTGTTTTGACATGTCTGAACATTTCAGTGCCTCACTTTGCTGAACACTTGCAACGGCCTTGAAGTACTGACCTGCGAAGGCATTGGCAATAAGCGCGACGGATACCATCCGATACAGAAACGTTTGGCTCAACTGAATGGCACGCAGTGTGGCTTCTGTACTCCGGGATTCGTGATGAATATGTACTCTTTGTTGGAGTCCAAAAGTGGCGAGCCCACAATGGATGAAATTGAGAATTCGTTTGGAGGGAACATTTGTCGTTGCACGGGCTACAGACCAATATTGGATGCAATGAAATCGTTTGCGTGCGATAGCACGATTAGCCTGTCGGAAGAATGCCAGGATATCGAAGATATAGTAACAAAACAATGCCCTAAAAGCAATCAAACATGCAATGGTCAATGTGCCAATGCGTCGAAAACTCAGCTCTCACTCAGCTATTACGACGGATGCCAATGGTATTGGCCCAAAAAACTGGAGGAACTAATTGATATACTATCTAAGATCGATTCGGCCGTTGAGTATATGCTTGTCGCGGGTAATACGGCCCACGGTGTGTATCGCAGATCTCAGTCTCTGCAACACTTTATTGCCATCAATGAGATTGCGGATTTGAAGAAATGGCAGATGACAAATGACATTGTAACATTGGGCGCCAACATCAGCCTCAGCGAAGCCATGGAAATCTTCAAGGAAGTCTCAAAGCAAACGGGATTCGAATACTGCCAACAACTTTGGGAGCATTTCGATTTAATTGCAAATGTGCCTGTTCGGAATGTGAGTACATGCAAATGATGTAGGACCACGTTTTAGTAACATCCAAATAATTTTAGAGTGGAACGTTGGCGGGAAACATCGCCATTAAGAGAATGCATCACGAATTTCCTTCGGACATTTTCATAACCTTTAACGCATTAAATGCCCAGGTAAAGGTGACCGGTCCCGACGGCAAGGTGGAAACGATGTCACTCTACAATTATGTTTACGTACATAAGACGCCGAAGACCTTTGTGACCAGCTTCGAATTGCCAGCGTATCCAACTGAAAGATTTATTTTCAAATCTTATAAGGTAAGTTGAAGTTTTGACCAACACTTCAGAGAGGTTACAACGACAACAATGTCCTCTATTAGATAATGCCACGTGCCCAGAACGCTCACGCGTATGTGAATGCTGCATTTCTCTTAGAATTGGAACCGAAAACAAGTCAGGTTATAAATTCGCGCATATGTTTCGGTGGCATTAGTCCAAATTTCGTCCACGCCTCAGCCGTTGAAGGTATCCTCAGGGGACAGTGTTTCCACGACAAACGGGTGGTCGAACAAATATTTTCCGAAATGCAGACAAGCGTACAGCCAAACGAAAATTTAACAGAAGCATCGCCGGACTATCGCCGTAAACTGGCTTGTGGTCTAATGCTTAAGTTCCTTTTGGAAGCTGGCCCCGAAGATAAGGTAAAGCCGGAGTTCAGAAGTGGGGGGCCCTTGTTGAAGAGGGAACTATCCTCAGGAATTCAAATATTTGCTACCAACGAAAAATTTTACCCAGTCACCAAAGCCGTTAAGAAAATAGAAGGTGAGCGTTTCAAATAAAACAGCATTGCATTACCTCACCCCATGCTTCGATTCTGCTTACAGGTTTAATACAGTGTTCCGGCGAAGCCACGTACATGAACGACATCCTTACGTCCAAGAGCACCGTTTATTGTGCCTTTGTCGGTGCCACCAAAGTGGGCTGCAGCATTGAACGCATTGATGCCTCCGACGCTTTGAAAGTCCCCGGAGTAATTGCCTTTTATTCGGCAAAGGATATACCGGGAATAAATTCATTTGTCGATCCCGCCTTCCGCTACGAGTCAGAAGAAATTTTTTGCTCCGATGTGGTGAAATACTACGACCAGCCATTGGGAATGGTTGTTGCCCTGAGCTCGGATATTGCCAATCATTCCTCCACCAAAGTTAAGGTTCTCTATTCGAAGAGTACGAATGCCATAATGCCAACTCTTCATGATGTCCTCTCCAATAACCGCCTAGAGCGAATCCATTGCCTGCGACCTTCGCCGTTGAAGGAGATCAGATTGACGGCCACAGCAGATATCACGACAAGGGGTATATTTGAGATGGGGTTGCAATACCACTTTACAATGGAGCCGCACACTTGCGTTGCAGTGCCATTCGAACGAGGCCTGCAGGTGTGGTCCGCAACCCACTGGATGGACCATACTCAGGCTGCCATCGCAAAAATGCTTGGCATCACAGCGGCAGAAGTGCAATTGAAAGTGCGACGCCTGGGTGGCACATTTGGTTGCAAAATAACTCGAGGCAATGCAGTGGCATGTGCTGCGTCCCTGGCCGCCTTCAAACTCAACCGCCCGGCGCGTTTTGTACAAACCATTGAATCGATGATGAATTGCAATGGGAAGCGCTGGGGTTGCCGTTCAGATTACGAGTTCCACATAAAGGCCGATGGCAAAATTGTGGGCTTAAGGAATACCTTCTATGAGGATGCAGGTTGTACCCTTAACGAAAATCCGATCACTTTGTTCGCCTCTCCTCCGGCCAGAAACTGTTATGCATTTACCGCAGACAACTACAAACTGGAGGGCAATGCTGTGCTCACAGATGCCGCCAGTTCGGCCTGGTGTCGAGCTCCGGCTTCGCTTGAAGGTCAGACATTTTCTATGAAGATACTTGTTCCATATTTCTGAGGTTTGTTGATTCCGTAGGTATAGCCATGATAGAGAATATTTTGGATCACATTGCTTTCGAGGCCAACATAGATCCCGCCGATGCCCGTATGATCAACATTGCAGAAGGCAACAAGATGAGAGAGTTGTTGCCGAAATTCCTATCGTCCACCGAATACAGGCAAAGGCGCAAGGAAATTGATGATTTCAATTCAGGCAGTCGTTGGCTGAAACGAGGAATTGGCATGGCCATTATGGACTTTCCTTTGGAATACACTGGCCAGTATAGTGCCACAGTGTCTATTTATCACATCGACGGTTCGGTGGTTATATCTCATGGCGGCATAGAGATGGGACAAGGTATGCCTCTGACAAGTATATGGAACAATTTCTCCTAATGAATCTTCACTTTGCAGGTTTAAATACAAAAGTGGCCCAGGTGGCCGCCTATGTCTTGGGTGTATCGATGGATTTGATAAAAATAGAATCAAGTGATACCATTAACGGAGCCAATTCAGCTGTCACCGCGTCCTCGGTGGGCAGTGAAAGTCTATGCTTTGCAGTCCGCAGTGCCTGTAACAAACTCAATGATCGTCTCAAGCCCGTAAAAGACTCCTTCAAATCAGATGCGACATGGTTGGAAGTTGTTGGTGCTGCATGGAGTCGTTCCATTAATTTGATAGTTAGTGACCACTACAAAAGTGGCGACATGACCAATTACCACATCTACGGCCTGGCCCTCACCGAAGTACAAGTGGACATTTTGACGGGCAACAATGTGGTGAAACGGGTTGATATTCTCGAGGACACCGGCGAAAGTCTGAGTCCATACGTGGACATAGGACAGATTGAAGGTGCCTTTGTAATGGGGTTGGGTTACTGGCTAACCGAACAGTTGATTTACAATCGCCAAACAGGCCAACTTTTAACCAACCGATCTTGGAATTATAAGCCACCTGGAGCCAAGGATATTCCCATCGACTTTCGCGTAGAGATGTTGAAGGGGTCAGCAAATACGGGTGGATTTATGCGTTCCAAAGCCACAGGAGAACCGCCAAGTTGTCTGGCGGTAAGTGTTATTTTTGCCCTGCAGCACGCTCTGCAGTCAGCGCGTAAAGACGCTGGCCTTAAGAAGGAATGGTTACGTCTGGGAGCACCCACTACACCAGAACAAATCGTTCTGAGTGCTGGTCACGAGGTGTCATCGTTTTCATTGGAATAGAACTTGACTGGCGAATGGAAGGTGGACGGTCTATCAGTACGTCAAATGTAAAACACTAACAAAGTTGTTAATAAACACATTTTAATCCCAATGATCGGGAGGAAACAAAAAACCAATTGAAAATTAAACTCACTAAGCTGTTATCGGTCAGAACCGAAAAACTCTGAATATTTTTCAGATACAGTCTTCTGAGCAGATATATAACAAATTCTTGATATAAAACGAATTATTTTTCGGGGGTGTTTTCTACCCTTTAAGACATTTAAATACTTCCTCCTCCAGATTAGAGTAGTCATGTATAGAAGTGCTTGGAACCGTCCATGGCCCTAAGGGCTAGGTAACTGTGTTAATGGAATATAAATAAAAAAATATGTAAATAAATAGAAAATTTGTTTAAGTCCGGTGCAGACACATGAGACCGGTTTTGACCGATATTGCAAATATTCGCAGGACCCATTAATATCTATCGAAAAATCAAAATGTCAAATTCCGGTTGGCGATAAGGAGTGAAACCTTTAAAATATCGAATATCAGAAGAATCCGCTAGGTGGAAGCTAATCGTGGACCTTCATTAAAAAGTATTTTTTGCATGAAAATGTAACTTATTCGATTGGAAATTGTTAAAGATGTAAATCGGAAGGTATGCCATACATGATGAGAATAATATCAATGACAAGAAGCTCTAATGTGAGCACACCATGAAAACATGAATGGAAATCTGATAGTCGACTTTGAGTTCATGGTGTCAAACACCACGAAAACAGTTCTGAATTCTTTACGAATGGGGCTCACAATGGTTGACACAAGTCCACATTTTTGGGTAGCCACTTTATTTGGGGAAAAACAACTTCTATTCTCGATTTGTCCTACATTTGCTAACGGTTTGTATATTTTTCGCCTCTCTTTGAGAGAGACCATAAAATCATAAAACTGATTGCTATTTTGCTTTTATTATCTGAGACCAGAGACCTACCACACTTCCACTGTAGTTTTTATTATTATACATGTTTTTATTTACGACGTTATTTTTTTCAAATTTAAATTAAATATGGGAGATACGTATGTAATACAGTTGCTTCGAGTGTGCAAAAAAGTATATATTGTGTATAATGTAGCGGCATTGTTAATTAACTGGAAGATAGCAGTGCCCGGAATGCTCGACAAGTGTCGTGTTCAAAATAAACATTTTACACTCCCATCGCCATGACATTGACATTCATTCAAGTGCTGCCCACTCACGCTATCTTCATTCTTCTCCTGAGCATACTTGGGACTACTCTCTTGAACGGCGATTGTTTTGTTTAGAATTGAAATATAAAGCGTAGTACTGAAAACAGCAACAACAACAAAATGTGATGAAAGTCATTAACAACTAATGTTCGACCGACAAATGATGCCAGATGTCGTGATTGGTGAATGGATTGTAGGTACCTAGACTCCCATTGGAAAAGCACCAACGTTGGAGACAAATAAAGGTATGGACTAAAAATGTTAACGTTTACCCCACCCGACAGAGGCACTGAGCACTGATGAGCACTGGGACGGTAAAGTCACTCGACTTCTACTATTCAAGTTGTAAATTCTTATATTTCACAAAATATTTGGATAATATAAATGTAAACAAATGGCTTGTAAATAATAATTGCTCTGTTCCAGAACATGCAAAAATCTACCAGTTTTGCCATTTTTTCCTTCGTTATTATGAAGGGAAAATCGGTTATCGTAGTAAAAACTTTCACATTCTTGCAGTTCTGGAACAGACGAAATAAATCATAAAAACACTCGCTACTTTTTTTGAGAGGGAAATGAGTGAATATATTTAAGCCCTCCCACATCATGCACGACATCTATTGAATCACTTTTTTCAAAGATAACAGATGAGACAACTTTTTAGTCTGTACAATGGTAGAAGAAAACAGGTAGTCGCAACCAATTTTGGAATTGCAATTTATGAATGAGAATTACTCAAATTTGTAAAATTGTTAAAAAAATGCATATCATAATAACCTCCGATGGGTGTCATATAGGAAAACATATAAAATTTTAAAAATTTCGGAAAAAAACTTTAACATTTTTTAACATATCAATATTCCCAAGCGTTGATGCATCTACCTGTATTCTTCTATCATGGTCTGTACCTTTATTTGTCTATGATATTATTATCTTATTGCACTGCATAAAGTGACATCTTAATTTTAGTTCAAAAAATTAATAAACAAAAATAATCTGTTATTAATTTCCTCAAATGAATCGGAGGTATTTCTGCAAACAGAGTCTGAATCGAAAATGGATAACCAAAGGGTAGCCAGTTCATTACCATATTACCAATATAAAATTTGGCAACATAAATTCAGTAAATTATGCATGGTCTAGCCTGTTGCTCATTGGACAGTTCATATTGAAATGAAACTTATATTAACGAAAAACGATTTATTTGTCCGACAACGTCATTTTTTTCTATCGAATGTAATAAATGACCATAGACGTGGGCATTCTTATTGTATATTTATTTCTATTATCGTATCTTCGATGATTTAGTCGATACCAAGGATAAGTATCTGTAAGAACAGTACCTTATCAATCAACCAAATACATGAACTTATTTAAGGCGCGGTTCGCATTGATACGAATCTTCCCCGTTTGACAATTCCGATCTGGTAACATGAGAATAGTTTGACTAGTTGATAGTGAATTCTAAGAGATATTTACAAACCTACATTATTCGTGTTTTGTTTAATTTTTTTTTAACATTAGAGCGTGTCAGATGAATGTGATATTGCTACATATTATGTAACGAAGCCCAATGAAGACTACTTATTCTGTTGTTGATCTTAGAGTTTTTCGGCCGTTTTTCCTAATTTTCCAAATTATGTTTTGTGGTTACTTGGCGACTGGTGGGAGGAGTATAAATAATCTTTGTTGCCCATTAGTTTGTTATCGCTCTGCAAAATGTCTTAATCTAACTAAGGGCTGTCATCAACGGACTGATATCAAATGCAAATCAGTTTAACGGCTTTCTAACTCATCAATGCTCTGGCTATATAAAAAAAAATCGAATACGTAGTTCCATGACGACCTCAAAATGTTTCCCCCCAAAAAAAACCGGTCTAATGTTGACAAACTAATCGTTCGGAGATAGAACGTTGTTATCTTGTTTGATATACCATTAATGAATAAATAATCAAAACGGCATTTGATCGTTTCGGCAGCGATAGGCCAACGGCAATTCGCCGTTCTCTTCCAGAACGAAACCATTCATTTCACCTAATCAGGAAGTCATTCCCACATCGTAGCGGTCAGTCGTTACGGATCGCAGCTACGGAAAAGTACCCACTTTTAGTTATCGCAAGTGTTACATAACAGTAAACTATAACATAATATTGTGAAATTGCCGAGCGTTTTTTTTTTTTTTTTTTGAGACAACGACCGAAAAAGGACAAGGAGGATGTTGACTACATTTTCAATAAACGGGAGGGAGTATAGCGGTAAGTGTAATGCGATTCGATGGCTCCGAAACTGTTTCTGACAATAACGACTTTGTTCAGTGGACTTAGCTAGGTTGCCGGCCGACATAACGTTAAACACGTTCATACGGGACTATGCTGGACTGCCGGGTACCAAATTCATGTGCCAGGAAGGCGGTTGTGGCGTGTGTGTTTGCACGGTGACCAACAAGGATCCTGTCTCTGGAGAGATCAGAACGAGAGCCGTGAATTCGGTAAGACCAGAATTTGTTCATGCATTCACAGCGAGTTCCTTAGGATCGGATATTTTTACGCTTTTAGTGTTTAACTTTGCTAAACTCGTGCATGGATTGGGAGGTAACGACCAGCGAAGGTCTGGGAAATAAACGGGACGGCTATCATCCTATCCAGAAGAGGTTGGCCACTATGAACGGCACCCAATGCGGCTATTGTTCGCCTGGGTTTGTGATGAACATGTACGGCCTGTTGCAAGAGCGCAGGGGTAAAGTTACCATGGAAGAGGTGGAGAATGCTTTTGGGGGCAATATTTGCCGCTGTACTGGCTACAGACCTATACTGGATGCAATGAAATCGTTCGCGGTGGACAGTGATATCGAAGTTCCCGAAGAATGTCGCGACATCGAAGATCTCTCGAAGCTCATGTGTCCAAAGACCGGTCAATCGTGCAGCGGCTCCTGCAAGGGCAAATTAGTAGAGCTCAACTGCATTAACGGTGAACGATGGTTTTGGCCCAAATCGGTGAAGGAGCTATTCTCTATTTTGGGGCAGTTCCAGGACGATGACTACATGTTGGTTTCCGGCAACACCGGTCACGGCGTCTACAGGCGTCCATTGCGAATCAATAAATTCGTCGACATGCATAGCCTTCGTGAGCTACATGGATACCAAATAACATCAGATACTCTGGAACTAGGTGCCAATCTTAGCCTTTCCGATGCCATGGCGGCATTTAGGAAGGCGTCAACCCTGAGGGGCTTCGAGTATTGTTCAAAAGTGTGGGACCACTTCGATTTGATTGCCAACGTTCCTGTGCGAAATGTAAGTAACTGTTTATGTGATTCCGATCCAACTTCTGACAGCTTTAACTAAACCAAATCACATCTAGATGGGCACACTGGCCGGCAATCTGGCTATTAAACACCAACATCCGGACTTTCCATCTGATATATATGTGGTATTTGAAGCTCTTGACGTCCAAGTGGTTCTACAGAGTGCCGTAGATCAATTGCAGACTGTGTCGCTGTCGGAATACTTACGAATGTCGATGAGCCAACGAATTATCCGGTCATTCATACTGAAACCGTACGACAGCAAAGAATATCTGTTCGGATCTTACAAGGTAAGTAAATCAACAGGTCAAAGGCTCTTGCGGTACATACACTGAAGAATTTGTCTTTACAGATTATGCCCCGAGCCCAGAACGCCCATGCCTATGTCAACGCCGCATTTCTTATTCAAGTGAAGAATCCGGACTTTATAGTTAAATCAGCTCGGATTTCATATGGTGGACTTTGTCCAGAATTTGTCAGGGCTAAACAATTAGAAAACAGTTTGCTGAACAAACCACTTTTCCACGCGCAAACAGCTCAGATGGCATTAGCTACACTCAGGGGTGAAATCAAGGCTACATTTGTTCTGCCCGAACCATCTCCTGAATACAGGATTACATTGGCGCATGGTCTATTCTACAAATTTTTATTGGGCCATGCGCCGGCAGAGAATATCTGCGCCTCTTTCGCATCCGGCGGGGGTGTTCTCAAGAGGCCTGTCTCCAGAGGAAAACAAACATTTGAAACTCACGACAGTTGTCTGCCTCTAAAAAAGCCCACCCTCAAACACGAAGGCTTACTTCAATGTTCTGGAGAAGCTGTTTTTTCGAACGACCTGCCGCCACAGGGCCAACAGCTGTGGGCTGCCTTCTTCACAGCAAAGAAGGTTGGTGCCAAAATTGCCGATGTTAACACAGAGGAGGCCTTGGCCCTTCCAGGTGTTGTGGCTATCTTCACCGCCTAAGGACATACGCCAGGGAGGTAATCGCGTCGCCGTTAAGGACAATTTCTTCTTCATGGAAGACGAACCCCTGTTTTTGGATGGAGAAGTCAAATATTATGGCCAGCCAGTTGGCATTGTTGTGGCCGAGACCAATGCTCTGGCAAACAGAGCTGCTGAAGTAGTGAAGCTTACATATGAAGGTGGGTCCACGGAAGTACTATCCACGCTAAAGGAGGTGTTGAATGCAGCTGCTGCGTCCGATAGAATTCGACATGAAATCAAGTCGGAATCTACGCAGGCAGGGACGTCAATTGATGCTCACAAAGCGAACGCTGAAGTCTTTGATGTGAGCGGCAAAGGCGAGTTGGATATGGGTCTGCAATATCATTTCTTCTTGGAGCCTCATACCACAGTGGCCGTTCCAACCGGGGGTGGCCTTCAGCTGTATGTGGCAACACAGTTCATGGATTTGACCCAGGACATTGTGGCCAAGATGCTGGGTGTGCACAGTAATGAAGTTCAGGTGAAAACTCATCGTCTGGGTGGTGGCTACGGAGGCAAGGCCACTCGCTGCAACTTCCTCGCTTGTGCTGCCGCGCTCGCCGCATATAAGCTGAATAGACCGGTGCGTTTTGTCCAATCCATAGAATCTGCAATGGAATCCTTTGGCAAACGCTGGCCTTGTCACATCGACTACGACTTCTACGTACGCAACTCGGGAAAAATAGTGAAATTGGTATCTTCTTTCTACGAAGATGCTGGCTTTTGTCCCAACGAGTCTCCCATGGGCCACACAGTGCTGCTGTCGAAAAACTGTTACGAATTCACCAACGACAACTTCATTCTGGACGGCTACATGGTGCTCACGGACTCTCCATCCAACATAGCGTGCAGAGCACCTGGTTCCGTTGAAGGCATCGCCCTAATTGAAAACATAATGGAGCATGTAGCCTTCCGATTGAACATGGATCCCTTGGACTTACGTATGGCCAACATAATTGCGGGTCACAAGCTGTCTGAAATGCTTCCAAAATTCATAGAATCGACAGATTACAGGGAGCGGAGGGCGGGCGTAGTAAACTTCAACAAAAACAATCGTTGGATCAAACGAGGCCTCGGACTGGCTATCATGGAATATCATGTAGGATACTTCGGACAAATCCCGGCGACGGTGGCTATCTACCACGGGGACGGCACCGTTGTTATCACCCACGGCGGCATCGAAATGGGTCAGGGCATGAATACGAAAATTGCCCAAGTTGCCGCTCACATCCTGAATATTCCACTTAATCTGATTCGTGTCGAGAGTAGCACCACCATTAATGGTGCAAACGCAATGGTCACTGGTGGATCGGTCGGCAGTGAGGTTGTGTGCTTTGTAAGTGGCAAATCTGATTTTTGTGTTTGGGAAAGGCTTTTCATCTTTTATGTTTCCTTAGGCGGTGCGCAAGTGCTGCAATACCTTGTTGGACAGACTTAAGCCCTTCAGGGAGGAATTGAAGGATCCCTCGTGGCAAGACATCATCAATTTAGCGCACATGCGCTGCACAAATCTAATAGCTAGCGATGGTTGCAAGGCTGGCGACATGGACCCGTACACCGTGTGTGGCTTGGGCCTGACCGAGGTCGAGGTGGACATGCTGACCGGCAACTATCTGGTGAAACGTGTTGATATTCTTCAAGATGCCGGCGAAAGTCTGAATCCCAATGTTGATATAGGCCAGGTGGAGGGTGCGTTTATAATGGGCCTTGGTTACTGGACCAGTGAACTTTGTGTGACAGACAAAGCAACGGGTCAACTGATGACTAATCGCACGTGGAATTACAAGCCACCCGGTGCCAAAGATATTCCCATCGATTTTCGTATCGAGCTTTTGGCTAAGAGCCCGAATCAGGCTGGTTTTATGAGGTCGAAAGGTAAGTCTCATGAGGATCAAAACAACTCAGTTTCAAAAATCGTATGCGTTAATGTTTGCAATGTGCTTGCGTTCCAGCTACTGGCGAGCCCTCAATCTGTCTGGCCATCAACGTAACTTTTGCTCTCCAACAAGCCATACAATCTGCTCGTGATGATGCCGGTCTTGAAAAGAAATGGATCACCCTAAATGCACCCATGACACCCGAGTACATTCTTCTGAGTGCCGGCACCAGTGTGGATATGATGACCTTATCAATGTAATAGTCATGAAAAAATCCTGTACAAACATGTTTGTATATTTTGTCCCTTTACCCACCATTAGTCCATGGTTTTGCTAAAAAAATAAACAAACACTCGTCATTGAGTTTTAAGAACCGAGTACGGAGCTTGTAATAATAACTCGTCCCTGCTTTTGAGTATTTCCTTTTTATCGAAGCTTTAAAACAGTTCACATTTCGCAGAGATACAAAGGTTTTGTGCCAAACCTAAGGTTTACATTAAACACGCACACGCACCGCCAATAATTAATTCCCTGGTTGTAGGTAATGTCAACTTCCCTTTGACCGCTTTGTATAAATTAGATACTATCCAGTTCCCCCCCCCCCCCCCCCCTGGGTTTTGCTGTTTCTCATCAAATCATTCAAGTTCGAAACGATAAAAGCAACTCCCTATTTGTATGTTGTTCGCACCTTTGCCACAAAAATGTCATTTGCAGTCGTTTAGACGCGTTTCAGAACAATTTGGCCGTCGGGCATGCGCGCCTACACAACAGAAAGCATGACAGGAAACAAGTCAATGGATGTCGTCGCCCAACCAAATGTGGCTCTGCTTAGGATCGACGATGTCAGCGCAACCATTCCGATTTACGTTTCCTCAAGCCGCAATCGGGACCACTAAACACTTGGGTGGTGAACGCTCGCGTCAAATGAACCAATTCATATGCAATTGGTAAACACCAGTAAAACATAGCCATATAAACGCACTTATTCGGGCTAGGTTTTGCTGTCAAGTTGTGTGTGAATTTATTTGCCAAACCACCTGGCGATAGGGAAGACGATAGTGAAACGCTTATTGTGATTGTGAAAACGCTTATCTGGAATATTGCAAAAATTCAGATTTGGAGAACGATTGATCGGAGAGAAGTTGACTACCAAACCTTTTTTGGTCGCAACAATTGCTCTCTTCTTTGACATCATAAAGGGATGGCTCTGCATCGGAGCAAAGTTCTTAAAAATATAATTGGTGGGGCCATAACAAACGGTAACCCATGGAGACATATTTTTACTACAAGGATCTATAGCGAGTCTTACATACCATATTTAAAACAATTCGATGGGAAATGTGGGTAGCATCACCAAAATAACGAATATCGGTGGGTACCGTTATATAAAAGCCATTGCGGACTACAAATTCCAAATTTTACATAAACCCTTTCTGTCACTGAAGCGAGAACCTGTTGCGAATTACAAATACCAATTTTTATCCGTTTTAATTATATGCAACTATTTATGAAAAACAATGAAGAATGTGTTTTTGAAGTACTTTAGACAGTTTGTAATACACGTTCGTCGGTGGTCAGTTCAGCGAATTATCAATGTGTCCAACCAATCTTCTTCAAAATGTAGTTAACAACAAATAGTTGAGTGTATCATGAAATTAGGAGAGTAAACGGATTTTGAACAAATATTTCAGTTTTTTTTTTTTTCAAGCAACAACAGACTTGTTGTTATTACACCGCAATTTAGAAACGTTGCGTTCAAATGTAGTCGTCATTGTGTGAAGCATTTTACTCAACAGGAAATCGACTCGATTCGCACAAAAACTACAAACTATACATTCGAGTATTTATACTTTGTAAACATAAATACAATCAAATCAATTTGTCGTGTTTTTTGTTTCCCTCCAATATTATTTAATTAATGCCAGAGGCTCACAATTTGGAGTAGTTCCCATCGAAACGTATTTGGTGTCGATGCTATCTGCCATCCCGGCACGACATTGGCAATGCAATTGAATGGAGGCGAAACAATTCAAATCTGGCTAAAATAAACACAAACTGTAACAAATTAAATTAATAACTTTGAAAGCTCACAGGACAATGGGTCCTGGTAGGAACACATCCTCCTCATTGATTTTATTTGGACAAATGCTTCCTAGTACCTACCTCCCCCACATTTTGGGCCATCTATGTAAGCGAGAATCGACCATCAAACTATAAAAAGAAGAGGGAGCTGCTGCTGTTAAAGGACGACCATTTGCGGTTACCATTCACTGCGGCATTCAGAATGCTGTTGCATACTAAAAGCTCCAGTCGAATGTATTAATTACAGCCACGCCGCAAGGAACTCGTTAAAAGTCTGAATTCAGCGATTCACAGTGGTTCCAGTGGTCAACGCTGTTGGAGAAATGTTTTCATCTACCTCATTCTGATTTACCCGATTACAACATCTCTATTGTCATAGTGACAGTGTGTTTCAGACTACTCAACGACTTCAAGTTCCAAAACCCAAATGCTGAATGGGGGGAAAACATACATAAGTGGAAAATCATGTATGTATCCAGTAAAAAAGAAACGAATACCCAATATAGCTTAAACTTGGTAATGCAGGGTGGGATAAAAAACATTTTTTTAATTGCATGAAAGCAAAAAATGTCGGAAATAGCGTCAAATTTTAGAATAAGTTTAGATTTGTTCGATTCGGTTACTTTTGCCACGAATTATGGCCTTCAAACGGCCAATGAAACTGTCACACGTTTCCCGAATGTTGCTCTGCGGTATTTTGGTCCATTCCCGGCGAAGCACTTGCTTGAGTTGATCTAAATTTTGGTATTTATTAGTGCCAACCTTGTTTTCCAAAATACTCCAGACACAATAGTCCAACGGATTGGTATCCGGAGATTTTGGTGGTCATTGTGCTGAGTCCTGTTGGAATGTCCAAGGTCTGCGGCCAAAATGTTTGCGTGCCCAAGGCTTTAGTACACCCTCCAGAATATTTTCGCTATAATACTCGGCATTTATTCTGATGCCACGGTCGATTAATACGAGCGGAGAGCGACCATCGGCTGTTATGGCTGCACATACCATCAGCATGTCTGGCGCTTGAGTGGTGGACAACCGAAGGTACACATTTCCAGCTGGCCTTTTTCGGCAAGTAAACACGATCATTTTGTTTTGTTGTTGTTTAGAAACTGCTGGACAACGAAAATTCGGCAGTTCACCACTTTCGTCCGAGCGAAACAACTCTTTAGATCTTTTGAGTCTATTTTCTTTCTGTTGCGGTGCAAGTTCTTGCACTTTTTGCAATTTCAATGGCTTTACCCCGAGCTCATTTTCAATATTTGCCGAATGGAATATCACGAGCCATTTTTCGGCCACTGCGACGCGGGTTTCGATCAATTCGCTTCCTTACTTTTCGAACCATTTCTGCTTATGTTGCTGTTTTCTTCCGTCCACTTCCTGCACGGCGGTCGGAATATCACGAGCCATTTTTCGGCCACTGCGACGCGGGTTTCGATCAATTCGCTTCCTTACTTTTCGAACCATTTCTGCTGATGTTGCTGTTTTCTTCCGTCTACTTCCTGCACGGCGGTCTACGCTACCACGGTAACGAGCGATGGTACGAGACACAAACTATTTATTCACATTCAAATGCTGGAGTGCTCTAACGTTAGCCACTTGCACTTTTCCAGCCAAATATAAAGAAATCACTATTACGCTTGAATTCCATCACGAATAACTTTTTTCAGGAAAATTCTCACCAAAATGCTTTTGTACGCTTGTAAACAATATAATGAGCTGTCACTGTCGGAGTGGCTTAGCAGTCTTCAGTTGGTTGCAGTTTTTTCATCTCACCCTGTAAGCTTCCATACCTCACCCCTAAACGACAATATTTTGAATACCAATAACTTTCGTAAAATGTACACCCAGTGCTCGACTTTCCGCAATTTTATCAAAGCCCAGCTTAACAAAATTTGATAGCACAGAAGATGTGATTTGTCGTTCCACAAAGGCCAAAAATATTTATTGGCCATAACTGCAGTATTTCTATCAACATTAGATCTCCTGAAAAGATGGAATACATGATGAGCGTATATATCAGTCAGAACACCGGCTGAAGCTTTCTAACTTGCTTAAACACAAATAGAGCTCTAGCCAAAGGTCTGGAAAATTAATTCGAAATATTTCATTTAATTTTTTTGTGACAAACATAAGACAAATGCGTATTTACATTTTAATATAAAAAAAACGGAAAATGTGATTTTTGCTATTGAAAGCTCTCAGCAGGCACAAGGGCGTAGTAATACCAGTAACTCAAAGTGGACCTAAGTCGATCTAAGGGTTTTTTCATCCGAAAACCACTTGTAGTTACTGTCCGAGTTAACAAAAAAAAATTTCAATTCACTGTCCGCAACAGAAGCCTCTATCGGCTCCCATTGCTGGCGAAAGCAATAAAATTCAGGACATTGTTAAAGGAGTGCGTGATCTGCCCCTGATGTTGGCTGTTATTACTACCGTACTGTGGTGCGGCATGGCCATTGCCGATGGCCGCCGGGGTTGTTGGTAAAAATGTTTGAAATTCAATTTAAATACACTCATCGTCGTCATTGTAGTCGTCGTCATCGTAGCCGGGCATATTGAAATACAGCAGACCATAAAGGACACATTATATTTCATAAGAGACATGATTCCTGCCCTTGCCAAAATTTATTTGCATATGCGAATGGAACGAAGCAGATTGGTTGCATATGTATTTACTCACTAACACCCACACACACACAGGGACATATAAATCCAGACACGCACTCCACAATGGGCGAACGTACTCGCAGGACATGCGAATGCATAGTGGCGAAATTATCGACATTGTGTAACGAATAACTCTGTAATTATGTAAACAAATTGAATTAATTACATTTGTCTCGATCGTCAATGCGAAAGGACAATGGAATCAACAATGCGACAGCAGTTTCAGAACAATAACCAAAGCAGTTGTTTCCCTTGTTTTCACTGCCATGGCCAGTCTGGTGAGGGCCAAAAGAAAGCTAGTGGCGTACGTAGAGGAGCCAGTTTACGGGTTTGTGGTCAGAAAATGACCCCGATTTGAATTGGACCGCCGAAGAATAATAATTCTGGAGGTATTTCATTCATTCATTTCTTTCTACCAACTTCTTTGCTAATAATGTCCGCTAATAATGTCCGCTTTGCTAATAATGTCTTAAATGGATTTCTGTAACAAATACTATAAATTGTACAATACGCCACCTCTGCCCGCCGGACAACCTGAAATGCCATTTTCAATTTCATTGCTGGCCTCTCCTCCCGGTATCAATTGGCAAAACACGCAACAAATTCAATTTCATGATTGAATTATAACGCCT